TCTCCCATACGGTGTAGTTATTATTAATAATAAAATATAAATTATTAACTTTTACCAAAATGGTTCTAATAGTACATGTATTTCTATTTTAATTAGTAGCTGAATAAAATAGAATTTGGACAAATAGCACATCATTGTATATCCACAACTTGGAATAAAAATTTGTTGAAACCACAGTCAGTAGAATATATAGGCAGAAGAAATAGAATTATGTAAAATGTCATTAGTTCATTTATTTTATTAAGCTATTTAATATACATAGAATACTTTATCTGGTTGAAAACATTCCTGAGAAGGCAGGGCTAGGTTTACTTATTCATGTTATCATTTGCATATATGCTTTATGATGACCATACTTGATAAAGAAATGTTGGACTCTGTAAGGTAGAAATGAAATGTTACGGTGTAGGACTTATCCACCAGAGTCAGCTATTTTCTGATAAATTTAGATGTTATATGATTGCTCTAGACAAGAATACAAAACATGATTTGAAAAGTTGGAAGCAAGATGAGAGAGAGGGGGAAGGAAATATTCTCAAGTGCTGCATTTGGTTCAAGTGGCAATGACATATCAAGTAGGTGTATTATTTATCAAAGACATAGTCTTTTGTTATAAAACATTCATTTATGCATTTTCATTTCTTGTTTTACCATTTTCTGAATGCAAAGGAGTAGTTAAAAAGCCTTGATACATTAACTTATTTCCAATTTAATGAACTTTTTGCCATTCGTTTGTCAAAAACGAAATGTAGTACTTAGAAAATACCATTGTAGAATTTTGTACAGTATATCTTAAAAAAACCACCTGTATATTTTATTAAAAATCAATCTTACTGTAAAATTCTTGTCAAGCCTTTTATTATAAAAATAGTTGCTTTTAAAATATATATTTTTAAAAACTGAAAATCTTCTTTTGAATTTATTAACAACATTTTAGAACTAGGTGAGACCTTAGAGGTTATCTAATTCATCCCTATATTTCCCTGAAGAAGGAACTGGGGCCGGAGGAATTAAATAATGTATCCAAATTGAATACCTAGAATACCTACTTAAAGGCACTTAGAGGATGTTCACCCCAAGAAATTTAGACAATAATAATACCCTGCAGCATACATTTCTTTTTACTTTTGTCATCAGAGTTACTCTGAATCTGTGAAGCTGTAAAACAACTACAGTAACATAGAAGTCCTGTTGGGAACAAAATAATAAGACTTTACACATGTAATTGTGTGTGT